GTTTTTTCTGTGCATTGTTTCTATTTTTTTGCGGGTGCCTGCAGTGAAATTCTCTCTCTCTCCTGTTCCACGAGGACTGTGTGGGAGGGCATGCTTGTTTTTCTCGTTAGTTATTGTTGTTGTATAAAATGAGAAAAAAGAAAAATGAACGGAAAAGTTATGCGGGTTGATGTATTTTTTGTGCATTTATATTTTTATCGATGTACTTCTGTGGATTATTTCATTATTTTTTTTCTCTCCTTCTTTCTTTTTGCGTTGCTACACACGTGTCTCAGTGCTGCTTTGTTGCGGTCACACACGGGTAGCTTGAGTCGCGAATAGTATTTTTTTCTTTGATTTCATTTCGTGTTAGACGCTGACGCGGCCACATTCGTCAAGCATCCACTCTCCACAGCATGGCGCCTGATATTTTGGAGTCACCCCAGATGTAACGCGGACGCCACCGCCGTGGCAGTCATGGGAAGTAAGATGGAACGCGGAGCAGCGAAAGATATTGTGCTGCACATGTGTCTGTTGCATTTGTTCTGTTGAGGAGGTCTTGAATTCAGAAGAAGAGGGATGAACACTGCACGATTCTGTGGATTGGAGGTGTTATCACCCTTTTTTTGTTGTTGGTATGGTCTCTGGTTTCCACCCGTGTCTGCCCCGATTTGCCTCCCCTGAGTGGAGCTGCGCCATGACCATCCTTTTTTTTGTTTGCGGGAGGAAAAAAAAATTGCGCGTGACGAAACCACACGTCATGCATGCGGCGTCCAGGGAGGTACGTGTTTTGGGTGGAGTGCACATACGTGGATGTCATGTGAGACGAAACGTGGGTTGACTGCTTAACCGTCACTCCTTTTCTGGAGAGTGTGCTTTTTTTGTTATTGTCTTTTGTATCAGGGCACGGCGGGATTGGGCGGCACCGTCCCACGAAAGTCTTTGCGCACGTACACACTTTCATGCCACTGTCGCCTCCGAATCCGGGAGCAAACCCAAATTCTTGCTGCTTTTGCATTGGTGCAATCATTTTTGTTGATTAACTGACGCCATTCTGTCCGGCGTGCAACTTTGATTGGATTGTGTGGGATTGCTCGCCAATAACGTCGGACAAAACAGGGTGAATTCTTTAATTATTTAGATGCCATCTTGCGCGCACGTGTTTTTTTTACACTTTTTGATGTGCACTCAAGTAGCGAGGAATCCGGAACTATGCGTGCGTGGAATTTTTCCTGCCATGTGAACTGCGGGCAGCACTGAGGGCCGTCACTTTTACTCCGCAGATTTGTTGTGTCTCTTTGCAGGGTTGGCGGGGAAACTCCATGCAGCCTGCTACTGCGGCTGTCTGCGTAAATGCCATTCCACGCGAACGATGTGCTTCAACGAGCGAGGGTGTTGATTGGGTTTGCCTGCGCTCTGATTCTGTTTGCTACTTTGTGCGGGCACGCAATACTTGAGGGGTGGGAAAATGGAGCGGGGCGATGCATGGCCGCGTCCCGCCCA